AATGTTTCGATCTTAGAGATCACATGTTGGAGAATAGTTAAACCTTTATTGTTACCGCATACATATTATGTATGCGGTAACAATAAAGGTTTAACTATTCTCCAACATGTGATCTCTAAGATCGAAACATTCTTTAATGTATTTTTCTATTACAGGTGAGGTGAAGAACGGGGAGGTGTCGGGCATGCACAGCTGGGTCCGTTTCTACCTGGCAGAGAAGAGCGGAGACTTCGACTACTCAGGTTACGTCTTTAAGAAACAGGTTACTACACTTCTATTTTTCAACTTTCTTGTTTCTATTGTAAATGCCACCACAATACAGACTGAAAAAGTCTGCAAAGTGGTATGTGACTCAAACCACGTCGGCAGCTCAGGAGCGTCTGTCTGGTATAGTCTCCACCAGACTCCTTTGCAGGCTGAATAAATAGTAGAAATCGGCTGAGGGGCAAATCATGGGCCAGAGGAGTTGCCGGGCACACAGAACCAGCTGGCCTGTGCAGGCAAGCTGGTTCTGTGTGGCTGATGCGACAGCACTAGGTTAGGCACTACCAGTCTAGTGCTGAAACAGTACCCAGAAATGTGGATCTGTTCAAATGTATTCAAATCTTAATAAAGTCACTAATAGGATACCAGTATGTAACCTGTCTGATTTTAGTGTAATGTGTGACAGCGAGATCGTAAATACCAGCGTAATTCACACTTAACGAGTCTGCTAAGTGTTATTTTGAATAGTTAAGAAATTAAAGTTGTGAAGAAATGTAGATTTTTTTTTGCCCCCCAGCCCGGTACTATTGGCGTACAGTTCCGCTGGGGAAGCGTGTGGAAGAACCTGGGCGGTTTCTTCCTGGGGACCAGCCCGGAGTTCGACGTCGCCATCTACACCCTCTGTTTCCTGGCGCGTCCTGAGGGTCTCTGTGAGTTCAGCATGGCGGGGAGTCAGATGCGACTCACTACCTACAGCTGGTTAGACCGCGGACAGTACCTGGCTACTGCGTATCCCTGAACAGATCATCTGTAAAATCGTCAGAAACATTCAATAAACAGAATCTATGAAGAAAAACAATGGTCAGATTTTGTTCTGTGTCCTGTGTGAGATTTTGGATGCCGGCCTTTTTAGCTTTAGTATGGTACCTAGCAAGCATTGCGAACCGCTATACAAACCGATCAGATACATGTTACAAGTATGAACTACAACACGGTGTATTCCGAATTACCCGAGGTAGTCAGAAATATGACGATTGCGATTGCATGCGCTGTGTTTATCCAATAAACAGGATCTACAAAAAAAATCAATGGTCAAATTTTGTTCTGTTGTACATTGAACTATATCACGTATAGCTTAGATGCCAGGCTCTCCCTGCCAAACATTGCTGTCGACTGCTATACAATCCGATCAGATACATACAATAAACGCACAATACAACTTGATGTGTATCAGCATTTACACTCTCTGTTTCCTGACGCGTCCTAGCGGTCTCTGTGAGTTCAGCATGGCGGGGAGTCAGATGCGACTCACCACCTACAGCTGGTTAGACCGTGGACAGTACCTGGCTACTGCGTACCCCTGAACAGATCTTCTGTAAAATCATGGAGGTATAAAAAAGAAATGGTAAAATCGTCAGGAATATTCAATAAACAGAATCTATGAAGAAAAAAATTGGTCAGATTTTGTTCTGTATCCTGTATGAGATTTTGTAGCCTTGATGCTGGTCTTTTTAACTTAAGTACGCTCCCTGGCATGCATTGCTGTCGACTATAGAACCCAATAAGATACATGTAACAAGTATGAACTCCACTACGGTGTATTCCGTATCACCCGAGGTACCAGTCCACTTGAGAAATACTCTGTTCGATGTCACCATCTTCACTCTCTGTGTCCTCTACGTTTAGTGCATTCCTTGGCAAGCATTGCTGTCAACAGCTATACAATCCGATCAGATACATACATACATACAATAAACACATAAAATACAACACGGTGTGTATCCCGCAGTGGATACTCTGTTCGACGTCGCCATCTACACCCTCTGCTTCCTGACGCGTCCTAGCGGTCTCTGTGAGTTCAGCATGGCGGGGAGTCAGATGCGGGTCACTACCTACAGCTGGTTAGACCGCGGACAGTACCTGGCTACTGCGTATCCCTGAACAGATCATCTGTAAAATCGTCAGAAACATTCAATAAACAGAATCTATGAAAAAAAAAACAATGGTCGGATTTTGTTCTGTGTCCTGTGTGAGATTTTGTAGCCTGCATTCTGGTCTTTTTAGCTTTAGTATGCTACTCGTACCTAGCAAGCATTGCGAAAAGCTGTACAAACCGATCAGATACATGTTACAAGTATGAACTACAACACGGTGTGTTCCGTATCACCTGAGTAAAATCGTCAGAAATATGACGATTGCGATTGCATGCGCTGCGGTTATCCAATAAACAGAATCTACAACAAAATCCAATGGTCAAATTTTGTTCTGTTGCACATTGAACTATATCACGTATAGCTTAGATGCCAGGCTCTCCCTGCCAAACATAGCTGCCGACTGCTATACAATCCGATCAGATACATACAATAAACGCAAAATACAACTTGATGTGTATCACCATCTACACTCTCTGTTTCCTGACGCGTCCTAGCGGTCTCTGTGAGTTCAGCATGGCGGGGAGTCAGATGCGACTCACTACCTACAGCTGGTTAGACCGCGGACAGTACCTGGCCACTGCGTATCCCTGAACAGATCATCTGTAAAGTCGTCAGAAACATTCAATAAACAGAATCTATGCAGAAAAAAAATCAATGGTCAGATTTTGTTCTGTGTCCTGTATGAGATTTTGTAGACTGGGTGCCGGCCTTTTTAGCTTTAGTATGCTCCCTGGCAAGCATTGCTGTCGACAGCTGTACAAACCGATCAGATACATGTTACAAGTATGAACTACCACACGGTGTATTCCGTATTACTTAAGAAACACTGCAATAGATGTCGCCATTTACACTCTCTGTTTCCTGACGCGTCCTAGCGGTCTCTGTGAGTTCAGCATGGCGGGGAGTCAGATGCGACTCACTACCTACAGCTGGTTAGGCCGCGGACAGTACCTGGCTACTGCATATCCCTGAACAGATCATCTGTAAAATCATCAGAAATATGACGATTGCAATTACATTCGCTGCCGTTATCCAATAAACAGAATCTACAAAAAAAAAAAAAATCAATGGTCAAATTTTGTTCTGTTGCACATTGAACTATATCACGTATAGCTTAGATACCAGGCTCTCCCTGCCAAACATAGCTGTCGACTGCTATACAACACCATCAGATACATACAATAAACGCAAAATACAACTTGATGTGTATCACCATCTACACTCTCTGCTTCCTGACGCGTCCTAGCGGTCTCTGTGAGTTCAGCATGGCGGGGAGTCAGATGCGGGTCACTACCTACAGCTGGTTAGACCGGGGACAGTACCTGGCTACTGCGTACCCCTGAACAGATCTTCAGAAACATTCAATAAACAGAATCTATGAAAAAAATTAATGGTCAGATTTTGTTCTGTGTCCTGTATGAGATTTTGTAGCCTTGATGTTGGTCTTTTTAACTAATAGTACGCTCCCTGGCATGCATTGCTGTCGACTATACAACACAGCAAGATACATGTGACAAGTATGAACTACAACACGGTGTATTCCGTATCACCCGAGGTACCAGTCCACTAAAGAAATACTCTGTTCGACGTCGCGATCTACACCCTCTGCTTCCTGGCCCGTCCTAGCGGTCTCTGTGAGTTCAGCATGGCCGGGAGTCAGATGCGGATCACTACCTACAGCTGGTCAGACCAAGGGCAGTACCTGGCTACTGGGTATCCCTGAACAGATCATCTGTAAAATCGTCAGAAACATTCAATAAACAGAATCTATGAAAAAAATCACTGGTTTGTTATTGTTATTTATTTCTGTTTTATTTAAACAGAGTAGAGACCTCAGTGCTATTTAAAAACACTGCTTTTCAGGAATGCCCTGTGACAACAAGTTACACATGAAAACAATGAAACCGACACATTAAACAATACATAAACTTACAAAACAACCAAGCGTCAAAACAAAATCGTTAACCGTAAATCAATGTCGTTAAGCCAAGCCAAGGTCAGGAGGTCAGAGGTCAGCAGTGTTGTTTCAGAACCTTCTTAAACGACTGGTCAGATTTTGTTCTATGTCCTTTGTTTAAGTTTAAGTTTGAATAAGAATAAACATAGCCGTAGTCTGTTAAGCTGGAAGGTAAACATTCTGCATTTGCTTTGCAAATGTTACCTTTCTAGTCACTAACATGTGAGTCCCTGTATGCAGGCCTTGAGCCAGTCATGAATAATTTATTGCCTGTTTCCGCGTGTCACCCGTCTTATCTTACCCCCAATTCAATAATGACTGAGCAAGAGCCGCTGCAGCATCGCAGGCGTTCCTTACGAGAATCAACACCAACATACGGACCACGTTACATATTGGATAGCTGCAAAGGTAAGTCAGCATACATCTTGGCAATAATTTTGTCAATATCTTATTAATCAATATCTTCAATTAATATCTAAATGTTTTAGCAAGGGCTACTGCAGCATCGCAGGCGTTCCTTACAAACACCAACATACGGAGCACGTTACATATTGGATAGCTGCAAAGGTAGGTCAACATACATCGTGGTGACAATTTTGTCAATATCTTTATTGTCTATTTGACTTCGCAGTCGAAGATTTCAGGGGGATTGCCCACTTTTGAATTATGTAGGCTCGCTGGCGGTCGACTAGGCCGGTGATCACCCTTTACTTAGCCTCTACCAGGCACCGCGGATCGCTGGGAAAATAGTAGAAATTGGCCGAAATAAAGGAATAATATACCAGGGGATTGCGTGGGTCGCGAATTGGATCTCCTCTGGCCTGCTACCTCCCCTGGTACATTATTCCTTTATTTCGGCCAATTTCTACTATTTTTCCAGCGATCCGCAGTGCCTGGTAGAGGCTACCCTTGAAGGCCTGCATATAGCGCATGCCTTTTTCCGTTAACCGTTATGGGCTATTTTAAGCGTTATCAGTTTATTTATCGTGAAGCATTATTAGTCATTTTATTTCTACGTAGAGCGTTATTTGTCATCCTAAATTTAGCGTTAAGCAAATTCTTCGTTACGCCTAAACCCTGAACGCTTCGTAGTCAAACGTCAGATAGCCCTTGGAGCTATCTATCTATCTATCTATCTATATATATATTAAATAACAGGCACGCAACGACACCCCCAAATAGTACGATGCACCTACGATGAAAGATTTCCCGCGAAGACCGTACCTTACATGTACGTCGTTGATTTGAGTAGAAACGGCTGCAATCATGTAGACAGCACGGCCGGGGCTTTAGTTATTACTCTGCGTTAATAGGATCATCGCACGGTAATCTCGTCCTTCCTGCAGCCATTACTATATTGAGTTATCCCCTTGATATGACCCAGATCGTAACGTAATACGACTAGAAGTGCTATCACTCAAATCATTCTTTCCTTCATCATCCTTCCTGTATGGTTTTACACATGGTATTATGTTTTGTTACCTGGGCCTCCTTGGAAGTCAGCTCGTGAAGTCGTAGGAGCTACCCAGGTGTCTCTAAGATAAAATAAATAAATAAATACTCGTGTGCCGCGAGATCTCAGTTATTTTTGTGTCCTAACTGGCGGCCAATTTTACAATTGCGCTACTTCAGTGAGAAATGAAATACCAGTATTTAACAGGAATGCATCTATAGTCGAGAGTCGTTACTGACAGAACGCTAATGACAATGTATATCTCATTATCGGAATCCTATTCCTCCTGTAGCCATTACTATATTGAGTTTCTTCCCTTGATATGACCAAGATAGTAACGTAATACGACTAGAAGTGCTTTCACTCAAATCATTATTTCGCTCATCATCGTTATTATGGGGCAAAACCCCTAGCCTTCTGTAGCAGGCTTATAGAACTGGGGATTTGGTGGTCTTCGGCTGTTTTCTTATTAGCCCAGTTCTAATAAACGGGGGTAATTCAACCAGGCCGGCTATGTTGTCTATATGCAATCAGAAAATAGCACATAAAAGCTCCCAAAGACCATGAAGACCCCAAATCCCCCAGTTTTTGGCATGCTATGGAGACTAGTCTCCAACCCCCCTTGTTTTTCTTTCATACTTGTGTGCCATAATCGATTATATTTTAATGCAACTGTCATTCAGTTCTACATGTTTTACAATTGTGCTATTTCAGTGAGAAATAGCATTAGTCACACCTCTGCAAGTGTATAGCAAGGGAACATGTACACCAAGTGCTTCTGTGAAGTGGAGTGTAAGTTTTCACTGTGACATTATGCAAGACAATTATATACAGAGAAAATAACACTGTTGCGAGATAACACAATGTTGCGGACAATTCTGCGAGAAAACTGAAAATGTAGTTCATGACCCTTAAGGTAATTTGTTATAGATATGTAACACGAATAGTACGGTCGAGAGCTGTTACTGATAGAGCGCTATTGACAATTGTACTAGCCTCCGTAGCAGGCTTATAGAACTGGCTTTTTTTTTTTGGTTTTCGGCTGTTTTCTGATTAGCCCAGTTCGGGGGTTATTCAACCAGGCCGGCTATGTTGTCTATATGCAATCAGAAAATAGCACACAAAAGCTCCCAAAGACCCTGCAGACCCCCCCCCCAACCCCCAGTTGTTGGCGTGCTATATGGAGGCTAGCTTTTTACTTCCTTTCGCACAATGCGTTTAACCAAGGACGTTCAACAATGAGGAAAGGTCCTTGGTTTAACGCGGTTCAGCGGAGCGGAAAATTGAGGCGTCGTGCTGATCAATCTCCAAGCAGATGTTGGTGAGGAATATCGTTACCTTTCTATATTTGCCCCTTTTTATGTCACTCTACCCCAACCCCCAACCGACAGCGACAGAAAAAAACGGGGCATATACCCCCAACGCCAAGAAGGTCAAGGAACAAGGTAGGTAGGTAGGTTAACTTGAGTGTGTCGCCACCACGTCTTGTCATTATATGTTTCAATAAAAAAAAGGTAGGTAGGTAGGTAACGATCTTCCCCACCAAGATCTGCAACTGTAATTGTAATCATATTGAAGTTCCCCAAATCCTACCACACACAGAAAGACCGTTTGTTACACTAGTGACTGATGAAGCAACGGCTTGGAATTCAAAAACATGCCTTCCCGTGAGGCAGTGAGAAAGGTGTTCGTGTGCTTGAGACTAGCCTCCAACAGACTTTAAATACAACGGAGCATGGTTTTCCGTTACGCGGTCATTATGTTTACCGAAGGAAAACATATTGTTTTTGCTCGGTTTCTTCTTCTTCTTCTTCTTCTTCAAACAGTGACCTCTGACCTGACCAATGACATGATTTGTTGACGTCTGTCACCATGGTGACTGGTTCATTTTGTCATTACACACTATATCAGAGCTGTGTGACGCCGCCGTAATGATCACCAAAGAGAACCGTTTTGGTAAAATTACCCACAGTTATCGCGCCGTTGCTAATATTGATCTCGCTCATTGCCAGCTGAAGTCGCTCGTTGGACGCGCGTTTCGATTGCGAGGTACCCGGACCGCGAGGCGCGCATCTGGCAAAGAAGATTACGCTGCTTAAGCTTGCCGTGAGTATAACTCATCATCATCCGCAGTAGCTCGTATTACTAATACCCTAAGTATAAAATTCCAGGTAGTTATGGAATTATAACATTTTCTCATTAATTATGCCAATTAAGTCTTAATTTACATAATCAATATCTGCCTGTGTTTCCCTCATTCTCAATTACACATGTCACAAGCTTGAATAGTCCAATCATGTAATGCAGCTGATTTATAGAATTTCATCATAAAGAATAATTAGCTTGTTAACTGCGCTTTATTGTAGGACCACGATCAGGCATGTTTTTCATGGATGGCCCACACGAATCCAGCACCATACATATGGCATGTCTACGCGGAGACTATCCAGAACTGTGCCTGATCCTAACCCTGACCCATTCTGGCACAGAACAATTTAAGCACGTTCACAATAACTCAAGGCAGATGGTTTGTTGGAAAATCGTGACAGGCGCCGTCGTTCTATGCTAAATACGACAAGGCTTCCAGTATTGGCGTTTTGATCGCTTTCATACAGCGTACCGGGCCGCACCGAGAAAATGTCGTTTCGGGGACAATCCAGAGCCGTGCCTCATCCTAACCATAACCCATTGAGTCATAGAAGACAGGGACTGTTCTGGATACGATAGTGCTTTTGCTAAGAGTACTAGCAATATTTGATCCGATCGTTTTTTCCCTAATCTCCAAGCAGATTCCGTGAGGCAAGGGGAGTATATAGGTCGCCTGTAACCATTTGGTTCCCATTTTCGGTGGCGTATTGGGTACTGCCTGGTCCAAAATTGGATAGTGTCTTGCCAATTTGATACTGAATTGTAGCCACCCAGAGAATCTGCTTGGAGACTAGTTTGTTTTCCCAATGCACAGTGAGCTGCGCTAGCTGCATCGAGGGAATGTCGTCCATGGAAGGGAACAGTTCAACGCCCAGAGCCGCCGAAGGACCCGAGGAAGGACCCCCGGGAAAACGCAGGGAGGCGCCGGACGGGGGCTGGGGCTGGTGCGTGGTGCTGGCGGGCTTCACCGTGTGTTTCTGTACAGCGGGGACGATAAGGTGGGGCAGATTCTTGTCTTGTTCGCCAAAAGAGCAGTTACTCAAGCAACTGGATATGATTTTGAAAACGTCAGACGTTTCAGCTAGTATCCACTAGCTTTCGTGAGTGACTGCAGCTGGGATACCAGAGGAGAAATGCCTTCCAAAAATTGTCTTCACTTATTTGCATATCAATCAATAGTAATGTGCTTATAAACCTGCATTTCTCCTCTGGTCTCTCAGTCACTGACGAAAGCTAGTGGATGCTACCTAAAACGTCTGACCGTTTCCAAAATCATATCCAGCTGCTTGAGTAACTGCTTTTTGGCGTATCTTATTACCTGGAGGTCTAACCTTCATCGACGTTTTGTCTTGTTGAGTCTTCTTCTTTTCGGTGATTGATTTCAACCTTTTATAAGGTTGGGCAGTTTCCTGTCTTCACTAGCATAGTTCTTCATTCACAAGCCCTTGTTTAACCAAGGAGGTTATAGGGGCAAAGGAAGATGCTTCAATGATCCTCTGTCATTTTCATTGGGGGGCAATTATGACTGGTTCACTTTGCACAGAAGCTACTGGCGTTACTTCAGTGGTTTTGAATAAAGAAGGTTGCTATTCAGTAATTTACCAACCCGATTAGATTATTGACGGAGTTTCTTGTTTTCTCTTGTTTGTGGTAATGATGTTGATTGATTTCAACCTTTTGTGATACTCTAAAGTAGCCGTTTGGGTACCGATTCTCTATTGGTGATTTGCAATAGGCAGGTGCTTGAGTAACTGTTATCTAGGTCTTGGTATTTGATTACCTGGATGTGTAACCGTCATCGACGTGTACAATTAATGTTATTGATTATTATTATTATTAATACAATTAATTTCTATTAACACCTCCCAATTCATATATCTCGCAAAATGTCGGCCATTTCACTCCACTGCACACGGAAAAAAAATCAAACCCAACAATAACTACAAATGCATATCTAAAGTAGCATTAGCATTACTTATTATCATTTTGACTGTTTATTGTTGTTATCATGTTCTTGCAATTAGCCCTCGGGCATGAATTTGCAATAAACTTTCAATTAATGTCTTTTTTCCTTGCTCCAATGGTACCCCCCTCCCCAGGTCCCTTGGCGTATTCTTCCTGGAGTTTGTTGACCAGTTCGACTCGACTTACGGAAAAACGTCCTGGATCACGTCCATCACTCTGGCTGCCATGTACGGAGGAGGTATGAAATATAACTTTGTTGGTGGTTTAAAATTTATGTGAAACTGATAAATAGTACAGTATGTACACGTTGCCCATTAGAAAAAAGTTTATTTTAAGAAATTAAACTATTGCACTCGTTTCGTCTAAAACATACGACCTATACTGTGATACTGGCGCGGCGAAATACAAACATCGTAGCCGTAGGTGCTTCGTACAATGTATATGACCGGGGCTTACGTCCAATTTTTGTGTTGGAAATTACAGTTCAACGTTATTTCATAATGTATTTTGTTTTCTTAAAACACAAAGCGACACGCCATTCTCCTGGATAATCTTTCCAGCACTCCTTTCCCAGGTCCCCTGGCTAGTTTAGTTGACCGAGCCGTAGGGCCGCGGTGCGCCGTGATGTTAGGCGGAGTGACGGCCGCCTGTGGCTGCATGTGCGCCAGCTTCGCCACCAGGGTCGTCTCCGTCTACCTCACCCTCGGCGTCATGACAGGCAAGTGGCAAAACCCCCCTTAAATAATTTCATCAGGTTGGTAAACGAATGAATAGCAAAGTTCTTTTTATCACAACCATTTATTTTTCAAGCCGACGTTTCGATGACCTTCTGTCATCTTCATCAGGTGTTGTCACCTTCTGTCATCTTCATCATTTAGTGCACTATGCACCAAGTTACATCTAGCGTCAGTGCACAGTAAACCAGTCAGCGCGCGCGCGCGCACACACACACACACACATATTTATAACTATATATTATAGCAAAGAAATGCCAATGTGTTTGAGTGGAAACAAGCATTTCATTTGAAAGAGAAAACTGGTGCGTTTCTATGGCGTATCCTGCTGTACAACTTATGTCCCTAAAAGTGGCCTCAAGTTACTGTCTGCTGTCTTGTGTGATTTTGACAAGTCGCCTGGACCCAGCCTCAAAACAGGCCAGAGTGTCTGCAGCTCCGAAGTCTTACCGAGTAAAACAGCATGATGAATTCTCCTGCCCACGTGTAGGATGCGTGTTTCGAGAAGATAAGGATAAAGTGATCAATAGAAAGCGGAGGACCGGACTTAAATTAAATAGTCCGAAGCGCAAACCCGATAAAACAGGTGAACCCGAAGCTACGCGTTATGCCAGTATATCTGCTGGGCACCGCATTTGGCATGTGTGGGTGGCTGATATATACTTTGTGCTTTTTGTCGCGACAATAGGGAGGATTGCATAAACATTGAATTGGAGAAAACAGGGCTTTAAAAACGAACGATTATGCAATGCCATGATGGAAGTTGAAATGCAATATGATGCACAATACAAAAGTAGAGTTGTGCGGGATGTCCCGCGGGATGTCGACAAATCTTTGTCTATGAAATTCGTTAAGAGATCTGTCAAGTATTAGGTCACTCATCGGTCGCAGCCTATAGTGGAAGGGGGGGGGGTAGAACAGATTGGCAACGTTTTCAGATTGCTGCAAAACCCGATATGCCGACACTACATTTCAAAGCACGACTCTCGGCTCAGTCATGGATGAAAGCACGCTAATGACTAGGCTTGGAACTGCGTACGGGTATTGTCTGAAATCGTTCAAGTAGGTTTCATTTGCATATCAACCAATAGTTCGTGCTTATAAACCTGCCTTTCTCCTGCAAGTCTCTAGTGTCACTGACGAAAGGTAGAGTAACTGTTTTTTTGGCGTATCTTATTACCTGGATGTCTAACCTTCACCGATGTTCAAGTTACACGGTAGGTGTTCCGGATCCCGGCTAGGTGCCAGGAATAATAATGAGGGAGCCTCTCATTCTGAGGAACAACTGAACAGGCACAGCCTGAATCTGAGCGATAAGAAACCCCGGGGATGTCGGCAGGTCTAGCTGTCAATCAGAACGAATACCTGTCTAGAAAGGTAACATTTGCAAAGCAAATGCATCATGTTTACCCTCGCATATGGTCTGCTCTGTTAATTCTTACTCAAACACATTCATATATATGGTTAGACAGGAGTCTAAATCCCTCCTGCTATAAAACTGCAACATGATGTAACCCAACACCAGTTACCATGGTGACAGACGTCTGGTTCAGGTCATTGATCTTATTGGTTTGGAGAAGAAGAAATTTTACAGCAGGAGGGATTTCAACTCCTGTCACCATATACATTTGTATATGAATGTGTTTGAGTAAGAATTAACAGAGCAGACCATATGCGAAGGTAAACATTATGCCTTTGCTTTGCAAATGTTACCTTTCTTGCTTTATTTTTTCAGGATTCGGGTTCTCCCTGGCCTTTCTCCCGACGATGACGATGGTGGGCCGTTACTTCGACAGGCGGCGCACGCTCGCCAACGCGCTGGCCTGGCTCGGAGCGTGTACCGGCAACTTCGCCCTCCCACCCGTCTTCCAGGTAGCCAGAGCACATAAAGAGACTCTTTATACGCAACCAAGTGTTTTATTCACAGCCGATGTTTCGGTGACCGTCTGTCACTCAGGACACTTCTGACTGGTTCACATTGCACTGCCGAACAGGTGTGATGTAACCATGTATATGACTGTGTAGATATGTAAATATTGTACATTTGGGAATGCATCTATAACAGCGACACCTGTCCTGTAGTGCAATGTGAACCAGTCAGAATTGCCACAGACGGTCACCGAAACCTCGGCTGTGAACAAAATACTTAGTTGTGTAAAAAAAAGAGTCTTTTTACTCAGTGACCAACCACATGAAACTATTCACGGTAGCCAGAGCACAGTTTTCGCCCTATGAGGATTTCTATAGTTAAGGACTCACTTCGACGCGGTAAAAATTAAAGTAGGTGCACTTCTTACTTACATAGACTTACTGTGTCTGGTGCACTTCACACTTCACAAAATATCTAGAAACTAAACAAATTCTGTCGGTGTATATGCTTCTGACGTACACTCTGAAAAAAGCCAGTTGCCAGTTGCGAACTCTATCTGATATGGTAGTCTTTTTGGTCTATCTTTATAATTTTCTACTGTGTTCTGCGACCTTCCAGCTGCTGATCGACCGGTACGGCTGGAGGGGCGCCCTGGTGGTGATCAGCGGAATCGCAGACGACACACTGAGGCCCATCACACTACCTGCAGACGACACTGCGGCACGATCTGACTAATCTCCCGCCTTTTTCCATCCAGCTCCTGATCGACCGGTACGGCTGGAGGACCGGAGGGGCGCCCTGGTGGTGATCAGCGGAATCGCGATGAACTGCAGCGTCTGCGGCGCTCTGCAGACGACACACTGAGGCCCATCACACACTGAGGCCCATCACACTACCTGCAGACGACACACTGAGGCCCATCACACTCACTGCAGACGACACTACGCTACGATCTGACTAATCTCCTGCCTTTTTCCATCCAGCTGCTGATCGACCGGTACGGCTGGAGGGGCGCCCTGGTGGTGATCAGCGGCATCGCACTGAACTGCTGCGTGTGCGGCGCGCTGCTGAGGCCCATAACATCGGACGTCACCGGAAATGACGTGTGCAGACCGGAAAAAGACGTCGTCACGCACAGGAAAAATGCACAACAAACTGCAACAGACTCTGCCTCTGAAAAATCGGACTATACAGACACACCAGACGCTGTAGCATACTCGCGGATACAGACTGAAACATCGTGCGGTAACAATGTAACGTTATATAAAGACAAACGGTTGTCACCATTGCAAAAGCGCTCAAGATGTAAAATGTTGGGGTTCTCACTTCTTAGGAAGCGACACTTCGTGCTGTATCTTCTCTCGTTCGCTTTTCTGTATTTTGGTTACTACGTGCCGTTCGTCCACTTGGTTCCTCGCGCGGTGTACATGGGAGTCGGGGAGTACCAGGCCGCTTTTCTCGTCTCCGTTCTCTCCGTCGGCGACTTCGTCGGTCGGGTCGTCATGGGAACGATTCCGGAGATTCCCAAATATGGGCGGAGGCTGCACAAGTACGTCATCGCGTCGAGCATGCTGGGAGTGTGCTCGCTGCTGTGTCCTCTGGCGGTGACGTATGATATCACTTCATCAGTATGTTTATCGAAGGAAAAGATTGTTTTTACTACGTTTCTTCTTCTTCTGTTCCAAACACTAACCTCTGACCTGGCCAATGGCCTGATTTGTTGATGTCTGTCACCATGGCAACTGGTGTGTTGGGTTACATAATGTTGCAATTTTAAAGGAGGGATGTAGACTCCTGTCTGACCATATATGTGAATGTACATGTATTTGAGTAAAAAGAGCAAACCATATGCGAAGGTAAATTTAAACATTAGGCATTTGCTTTGCAAATGTTACCTTTCTAGTTGCTCATTCTTTTCCCAAATTTACATCAACAGGGGTGAGCACAAGTGCACCCCCCTGAAGTGGGTATAATTTGTCACAGTTTTAAACATCAATGTCAGAAAACAGTACTGAAAAAGTACATACAAAGACACATACAAAGTTATCAAAGGTGTCCAATGCAGTTTTTAGAGCTTGGAAACCCCATTTTTCAAAGTCAATATTTCAGTCACTTATCTACATACTGAGTTGAAACAACACTAGCCTGATGTAGTTCGACCCTCATGGAGCAAAAATTCCCAAAATTCTGACTAAAAACGGTTATTGGAAGGGCCCTTGGCTGATTTTTAGGGTACCACCCAGAAAATAAAGGACTCATCTTGATGTTGCTTATGCAGTTTTAAATGCCCAAAGTATGAACTACTTAGTCAATATTTGCCTAATTCTGAATTTTTCCAGTTTTGCTGCTCTGAAATCGCTTCTAATCCCTTAAATACACACAATGTTGCTTCAGGTATACCGCCATGCTGGTGCACAGTGTGGTGTACGGTTTCGTGAACGGGCTGATCATACCGCTAACGTTCGCCGTGGCCGCCGATCTGGTCGGGACGAAGCGGCTAGCGAGCGCCATCGGACTGCTGATGATGGCGGAGGGCATCGCCGCGTCACTTGGACCGCCCGTAGCAGGTAAGTACGGTCGTCGACGTCAACGAACTTCAGAACAACTTGTGATGAAGGTTAGACATCCAGGTAAAACAATATTTAAAAAAATCAAACTCTACTTCTGGATAAATAACAGAGATAACAGTTCATTTAGTGACGGATGCCAGTCTAAACGTCCAGAAGTTATCTCCGTTATTTATCCAGTAGTAGAGTTTGATATGGTACAAAAAAACCTGTTACGACTGGTTAGCCTCCACCAGACTAACCCATACGGGCTGGAAATAGTAATTTTTAGCTGAAGAGGGATAATTGTGCCAGGGAAGTTTGGTCACCAGAGGAGTTCATTTGTCCGCGCATGTAAATATTACCCTTACCGTGACTCTATCCCCTGGCCAAAGAATAAGACACTATTTTTGCTGAATTCTATTATCCATAACCCTTTAGGAAGGCCTAGTGGAGGCCAAAGGCTGGCGGCCAAAAACATATCGTCTGGTTGGTTTGGGACTAAAACTAAAATCAGATGTGTCAATACTTTTATAATCGATCTTACTTTCAGAAAATGTTGCCTTTCTTCATTACTGAGAATACCATTTTCGTTTTCATAATTTTTGTGTGTTTCTGCTTAGGTGCTTTGTATGACCTGACCGGAAACTACAATATGTCTTTCCTGACGGCCGGAAGTTCCATGTTTTTGGCTGGCGTCATCATGATTCCCGTCATGCTTAGCGCCAGCAAGGAAGAGCAACCTCCTCTCGATACTACAGAACTCGTGATGGACACCAGAGAAAAGGATGACGAGAGGCTAGAAACGGTTTATGAAAGGCTTACAGCAGTGTGACATTCTGTTGTCTGTTCTTCGACAGAATTTCTCAGTCCCTGTGACGGGGGGCGGTACCGACTTCTGATGAACTTTGACATCATATTGCAGAACTCGTGATCGGTACAGAAAAGGATAATAGACACACAAACCCACAGACAAAACACGACTTCCATACCCAGAAGTAATGTGAAAGGGAAAGCAACGGCGACATTTTTAATAAGGCTTTATTTTCATATGCGTGTTGGATACAGCAAAGAGACAAAAAGCGTTTATTGCCAATTTGTTGCCAATCAGCTCCATCTTAGTCACTACTGGCGCTAACGCCTAGAAATGCTTTCTTGTATGCTAACATTCTGCCTACGAATCTCAAGCAAACAAAGGGACACCTAAAATCGAGTTCCAAATATATGCTGAAAGTGAAGATTCTCAGAAAGCATTACTATCCACAGAAGGTTTGTAACTGTCATACTTGACTTCATGGCAAAGAAATTCTAAGTTTAGGTGTTGCTTGTACAATCATATGTAAGGTTAGAAGAAGGATATTATTGGAAGAAATGTTGCAAAACTGTGTCGCAGCGCACTTACAGCAACGTCACTTCCTGGCTTTGCTACATTAGATTCATATCTGCAGATTGAATTTTGTAACATTATGGACAGGGACGTAGCCAGAGCTTCGATTTTAACCAACTCAGCTCTCGGTCGTCAGGACAGGTAAGGACCTGGTCACATTCGTCGTATGATCGTCGTATGATCGTCGTACGATCTTAAAATTAGGGGCATTCTTGGGGTAGTCGTGGGTATGCCGTAGCTATCTTGTTATGGAAGATTCTGTCTTTATCTTTGTATGCGGTTGATTCTGTCAAAACCCTGACAGAAAAATCGTACAATGACCTTCGACGAATGTGACCGCACCGTTTACCAGGCGAGTTACTAGTAACTTTTTTGTGCTTATTGACGGACATCATCACAAAAACACCCGTCCAGACGACCTCTGGCTACAGCCCTGGACATAAGCTTAAGGCTTCGCGCTAACAGCCATCATCACAGATCTTCAGACTCGTAAAGATACTGCGGTGCTGGGCTGACTTCCTGGGCGCCCAGGGTGTACTTGGCGTAGGTCCGGCTCATCCCCTCCTCCACGTGCGGGTGGTGCTCAAGCAGCGCCTTTTCTCTCAGCTCCGGGTTGACCATCTCCCGGGGGCGGCGGAGGCCCGAGCCGATGACCGGGTCGTAGTGCTTCTCCGGGGTGGCGTCCGGCGG